TTGAATGGGTAATGAAGAAAAACTTTAATATAAGTTTAACATAACAGCAAATGTATGATGTTTCGACAAGGTTTTGTCATCATCAGGTACCTTTTTTTTCTTCATTACCCATTCAAGCCATCTCCAGCCATTATGTTGAATACATGTTAACAGTGGAATACCTGAAACGTAGGTAATGTAAAATAAATTAGCTACTGGAGTTGAAAAGAATGCAGGTATATGTAAGGTCTGGTTATGTTTTGAGGCCAGCCACTATATTGTCAATGTTAATCTAACTTAATCTGTATTATGATAACATGTACTAAGAAATTAGCTTTCTGACCAGTTCTTAGTATACCCACATTTTCACTGAAGAAAGCATGTAATCTTCATTCATATTTCCAAAGTAAGTTACTATGAATGTATTCTGTATAGTTATTATAAGTGTATGCTGCTTCTGATGTATTATCAAAGACTGGTCACTCGGTTGCCACGTTCCTGGTGTATTAACAAAGACTGGTCACTTGATTGCCACATTCCTGGTGTATTAACAAAGACTGGTCACTTGATTGCCACATTCCTGGTGTATTAACAAAGACTGGTCACTTGATTGCCACATTCCTGGTGTATTAACAAAGACTGGTCACTTGATTGCCACATTTCTGGTGTATTAACAAAGACTTGTCACTCGATTGCCACGTTCCTGGTGTATTAACAAAAACTGGGCACTTGGTTGCCACATTCCTGGTTTATTAACAAAGACTGGTTACTTGATTGCCATGTTCCTGATGTATTAACAAAGACTGATCACTTAACTGTCACATTTCTCAGTATTAAAGAAGGCTGGTCACTTGCTCTCTCTCTCTCTCTCTAGGGACAAATGATGCATATGTTACTATTCAGCTGGGTAAGGAAAGATTTGAGACAAGAGTGCAGGAGAGAGTCATAAATCCAGAATGGCATGAAGAATGTGACCTGTAAGTATGACATTAACTCTTAACTAGACATAAGTTTCTGTTGATTGCTTGGGGTTAGCCCTTATTAAAACATTAAAATGCAATTTTAGTTGGCTTGTATTGCTTTTACTAAACAGACAAAGTTGAGAAATGACCTTTAATCTTTCATTATCTTTGTAGTAGTCTGTTGTGTTTGACATGTAATCCTTTTAATAAACAACACAAACATAGAAGAATTGATTGTGAAAGAACAGTGAGTCAAACTGCCATAGGGTTTTAAGGCAAATCACTGATTGGCTTGATGTCGGTGGAAATATTTTATTAAGAACTAGCTGGAGTACCCATTCCCTGGACGAAAGTTATGTAAATTCATGATTAATGAAAGGTTATCTTAGGTCATAAAGTTGGTTCCCTTATATGTAATTGTAAAAAACTGCAAAACACAATGTGAAACCACAAGTTTGCATGTATCTCCCAATGAATCTCCATACCAGATTTGACAGTCCGTCTACAGGGGGTGAAGTAGTGGTTCTTCCTACCTCAAGACTCCTAGTCTATGGCTTATGGTAAGGGTCCTTCTTTTTTAACTTGTAGTTTCTTTGTTCTCCCCTACATCGAGACTCCTACTCTGTGGCTCATGGTGAGGGTCCTTCTTTTTAAACTCTCAGTTTCTTAGAGTTCCTTGAGATTCCTACTCTGGCTTATGGTGAGTGTCCTTCTTGGAGGTCCCTTTAATCTCAGGTTTGAGTATCATCATAATGTAGATACCTTTATCTTCAGACTCTTCACAGATAGGCAGGTTTTACATGCAGAATAACCCATTTCTTGCCCACTCTTGTCAGCCATCCACTTTTGCAATTTATTAACACCAGTGGATGGTTTATCAATGGCTTTTTCATCCACCACTCTCTTCTTCATCCTACTTCCTTTTTTTACCTGGCTTTTTGAGAGTGGTTGATGTGATTGTTGGGTATAGAGGTGGCTTTGTCGATGATCTTCTGTCTTTGTACTGGGTTTCCTGCAATACCGTTTCAGTGGTATATATATCACTTACCTGCCAATAAAAATTATACAGGTGGCTAAACAATCATCCCACAAGGTAGCTCTTTTGTCCCTATTTGTATGAACCCATTGATAAACCTTATGCAGATGAGATTATTCCTGTACTGTCCATCCAAGCATCCAACTGGTGTATTTACCCTATGCAAATTCCTTTCTCCCAGTCTCTTCTGTTAAAGTGAGAGAACCCTTGCTTCCCCCAGTACCTTGTCACTGGGGGGAAGGATATGGAAAGTTTCCCTAGAGGTTGGGGGTAATCCTACTGGTATGAGATCAAGTGTACATATGCCTGGATCAGAAGTAGGGTGGGAATGTCAACCCAGAAAAGTGGTACACTAAAAACCAGGTCATCCCCATTGGTTGTGGATCTTACAACTTTTTTTTGGGATGCACATCTTGGATGATTCATTTCTGAACTTTCATATTCTTCTAAGTATTTCTCCGATATTGTATTGCCTTAACCACACTTAACTTGTATGGTCAGCTGTCCCTGGGAATATATAAGGTGGTTGAACAACCTTCAAATTCCACCCACCTTTGCAATACTTTGACAAAAAGCAAGAAGTTTTTTAAACGGAACCTTACTGAATATCCACTTGTATTGGACAAAGAGTATTTCTTGCTTGAGGTGGATGCAGTTTCTCATGGAGTGCTTCTTCCACTAGGTTCCCCTTATTGTATTTTCTGTTTCTATAATCTTGGAAAGGAGCTTCGTCTTTTACATTTACTTTTTCATTCTAGTGGTTTCATCATCTTTTCAATGTGGAATTCCAGCTAATTGTTCTGTAGGAAGATGAGTAGTGTTGGCTGAAGATAACATTTTCGATACTTGAAAACGTTTCATGGATAAATCCATTACTCCACAGAATCACCCATTCTACGTGCCTACATTCCTTGTCAAGAATGAGCTTTTGGTTTAAACAAATGCTAAAGGAGCATGCTGTGCAAGGAGGTTGTTACCCTCCTATTGGTGTATAGATATAGTCCAATGTTGATTGTATCATAGACTAGCACAGTACATGTTATGTGCAGAAATAAGAGCCATTACAGTGGCTTGGTGTATGCATAAATAGTTTTTTCTTTTGGCAGTACTAGTGGTTCTGTGGTGAAGTTAATATCTGTCTGAAATACACATTCAGTTATAGAAAATGTTAACTTTTTTATTATTTTACTTTTGTGTTTCTAATGTAAAAGTAATGAGAACTATGGCTTTTACATGGTCTAATGGACATCAGGATGTTCTTCTGGTGGGCTCTCTTGAAAAAAAAGTACATAATTTTTTTATTTCTATGACAAACTTGTGGGCCCCTTCTAGTTTTTTTGCCTGTAAAATTTTAGAGTCCAGTCTGCTCCTAGTTTTAATGTATTGTTACGTCTCTGTTCGTTAGTTAATTTTCCGTAAATTTGTTCCAAAGAAACTTTAGCGATACAAGTCCTTTCTTAAATAAAACTGGTTTATTCTTTCTGAATACAACTTTACG